TGTTCCTTGGTTCAAATGCACTTTCATTTGATCATCCCATGATCCAACTATCTAAAATAATGATTGATTACTCGATCGTTTGACTATAAGGATGTTGTCTTTTGATATTATTTTGATTGATCCGTTGGATTTCCTCAAGATTTGTGTAGTCAAATTTTTTATGTACAGTTACACATTAATACATAGAAGTATTTATAGAAACACATTTTCATTAGGATCTTCTTCCATACATCAAAACACCATTTTGATCTTTCTTCTTCTCAATTAGGATACATTTACTAGGTTCTCCGCCATAATGCCAAAAGCATAATACAAGAATAATTACTCTTTAAAATGACAAAAAAAGGTTTCCTACACATACATTATGAAAAAAAACTAAGAAGCTCAAGCACAACCTCAAAATATTTCTTGATTCACTAATACAAAGCAAGTTTGTTTGAATTCAAATATCTAATGACTATCACTAAGAATTAATTAAAATAAACTTTGTGAAGAGCAAAAAGAAAAAAAAATGTGGATGGCCATTAATAATATTCTTAAGACCATCCTATTTTTGCATTTTTGCAAGAGCAATGAATTAGTTTAGGCATGTCCACAAGGACTTCATGAAGCCCAGTTAAACTTTGTGGAGGCCTGTTATGCTCATTTCAAACAAAGTATGAAGATTTGACATCTACAGTTTTCAGAAAGCATTAAATGTAGTATATTATTTATAACATAATGACTTAAATTTTTTTTTTCTAAATTTAATTTTTTTAAAACATTTAAGAAGTCTAGTCAAAAAAAAAAATCCCAAAACTTTTTTTTTTTTTTTGTACTTACAAGCATTCATTTTTTAGAAGCTCTCATTTGATTGATTTTTCATGGGATTCAAAGGGTTTTGATATGTTTGACTTGACATATGAAAAGAAACACTCTAATCTACTATGTTAGTTCATTAATCTTCATATGTATCATCTTGATTGCTCATGAAACTATCAATTCAAAAAAAAAAAATTTTGTATGTTACAATCATCAAAATCTTGCCATGAGTTAATATGACTAATAATTTATTCTTTAAGCAAATATTTTAACTAGGCAACACCTTATTGATTTTCCTTTCCAAAATCTAATGTAATAAATCTTGTGTCTTTTGGTAGGTCGATTTACTTCGTTAATTATATGAGTCTGCATTAATAACATGTACTTCGAGCTAGCAAAAATGTAACTTTTCTCTAGTATTATGAACTTTCTCTAGAAACACTTTTCAATCAATTATCAGTTATTTCTAAAATTCAGAAATAAATAAACAAATTAAATAAATAAATAAAATAAAATAAAAATAGAAAAAAATATCTTTAACTATTTGGAACTTTGATGTTATGGTGATTGATGGTAATTTACAGGAATTGGCAAAAATAAAAGTCAGCTAGCCAAAATCGATGGAGACTAATAAGCTGGCCCACCCCAGTCAACTACAAATTCCACGTATAAGCCACAGATGTTCATCCAAAACCAGCAACGAGTAATAAGATAAGATAAAAAATATGTTATGAGTTGTTAAATATAGGTTTTGACATAATATTAGCAAAAAAAAAAAATTAATAATAGTAATAATTAGTTTTGATCATTCGATCAAATTACAGAATTGTTCTCAAATTATCATTGTGCAATGTAAGAATTCGACATGATCAATTAGAGCTAAGAAGATCCTGACACCAGAGGTCCCCATGAAGTAAGCATCATCGATACTAATTTCCAAACTCTTGATTAAAAAAGGGGTATATATATATGATGATGATGAATTTTTAGAATATATAATTATTTTTAAAATAATGTTTTTATTTATAACTGTTTTAAATTATTGTATATTTTGAACAATAATGATTCGAACACGAACGAATTCATCACTGTTCGTGTTTGGTTCATTTAACAAACTGAATGGAAAAAAAAAATTCATGTTCGTCTCGTTTACTTATCGAACGAATTGAACATGAACTCTTTAACGAGCTGAACATGAACTGTTCGCGAACAACGAGGTTTTTTGACAGCCATACTTAGAAATACTTCCCTCCCTCAAGTTCCTCACCTCTCGCCTCAAACAATGTTCCCAAAAATTGGTTACCCTAGCCATATATCATATATGGAGTTCTCAAATCCTTGAAGATTTTCATGGCGAATGTCCCCCAAAATTCACAGGTGATGATCAAAGTGGCATTGTAAACTACCAATTCCAAATGTTTGCTACCCTATACTCCACGATATCCTCTACGGTTCTTTCACATATTCTTCATCTTAACACTACAGCTGAGATCTGGATAAGTTTACAGTGTATATTACAACCTACAAACACATCCAGGGTGATTCAATTGAAAAATGAACTTCACCATATATCCATGAAGGACCGAACATTGAACCAATACTTGACTAAAATTAAAACACTGGTAAATCAAATTGCGGCTGCTGGGGGAAAGACTTAACTGGTTAAACACAACAACGCTTTGATTCCACCCAAGTTTGCTTCCAACCACTCTCTTTATGAAGTAATCGAATAGCAAAATAATAATTTGTGAATAAATCAACATAGAATGTTCTTAGAAATGCACAATAGTATAAAAGATGGGCACAAAGTCATGCTCTATACTCACTGAAGTGAAAACAAATGCTAAAACTGAGATGACATTGTCACAGTTTCGTCTGTGACATCATTAAATTTAGAAAAAATGAACGTTTTGTTATAATAAGTCATATTTTACCGTTACTGCACACTGCAAAGCTCACTTTTTTTTTTAACATAAGACTGCCTGTATGAAAGCATATATGTATATATATATAGACACACACACACAACAAATTCACATGCAGTTGAAACATTCTTGATTAAGTGCAAATTAGCACCCTTACTTAGTGAGTAAACTTGTTCATAATTTTTTCGTTACCAAATTGAAAGCTTCTTTATAGAGTTTTAACCATAGATTATGAGTGTTAAATGGCTGCTCCGTTTCAGGTGCAGTTGAAAAGGATGACTTTACAGAAGACCATCTAACGAAGTTATTGCATGAATCTCAAAGCAAAATAACAAACATTGATTATAATCATGATTACAGCTCGAAAATGTAACAAACACAATTATGATTATAACACCAAAATGTAACAAACAGTTTACACGATAAAATGCAACAAACTATCTGCAAATGAAAAAGCAAACAATGCATACATTTTTATGCACAAAGACCTACAAACAAGAGTTTTTGGCCACTTGCATATGACTATACTCCAAAATAGCATCTCCAGTCGCTGGAGTTCCTCACAATGCATGGACAGGACTTTTGGTTTCTTAAACCAAAAGGGGAGTGTCTTTCCAGCCATTGATTCGTTAAAATCATATTCCCAACATAACTCTGCATCCTTCTAAGTGGAGATGTCGAGTGGAGGGCAGAGCAAGGAGTCATTCTCGAGCTGGGTTTGAGGACAGAGTAGTGTATCCGACTTTAATATTTACATATATACCACCTTATCTAGTTTAAATTTAAATTTAAACTTGAATTTGAATATAATAGTAGTTGAAATTAACTTATGGAAGATTTACTTACCTACCATTGTATTTACATATATAAAACCTATACTTCAATACCTTCATATATACAAACCACCTTACCTATTTTAGAACAAACATTGTGTAAATTTTTTTCATTTCTGTAATGATGGATTTTCATAGCATCAAAACATATTATTTTTGTATATTACATCAATTCCAAGCCAGTTACTTTGAGAACGCTTATTTATCTGTTGTTGTCACACCAATCCTAATTTGTTTGTGATAAACTTGTTAAATTTAATCGACTTATTGAACTCATCTTTTTACTATTCATTTTGTAAATCTTTTACCTGCATGTTCCTGTACTGAAGCAGCTGTCGATTATGTCCCCTCTGATCAAGGTCTGGTGGAATTTCTCGATTTGACAGTCTCAAATGAGAGAGGCGTAGACTGGAGCAATTGTTGCCGCTGACTTTAATGATGCACCAGAGGTCTCGATAAAGCAAGCATGATCGATATTAATATCCGATTAAAAAAGGTATGTGAAGTGTACTATTTATATCTTATATGAATATATGTATCAATATAAGATTGTCCTCTAAAGCACATCCATGATATGGAGCATAGGAGATTGAGAGAGAGAGAGAGAGAGAGAGAGAGAGAGAGGTGAGACTATATTAGCTCCAATAATCCATTAGTTTTTTTTTTCCTATTGAAATGATCCCCTATTTATAGACTAAAGGATGTGTAAGTCTACAATTTACCAACATACGCCTGTTTGAAATAAAAACCTCATAGGGCATTTTGGTCATAAATAATTACGTGCACAAAATAGTGAATGAAAAAAAATAAATAAAAAGGATATCTGATTTGGTTGTCTCATCGTTTAGTCGTCTGAGGTGAGGCTTTTGGTCGGTTTATCTGATTGTCTTTGGTCGGCCAGACTACATGCTTTCGGTCAACCGAATTATGGGCTTTTGGTTAGTCGAATTGAGAGATCTTTGATCAACCATGTTTCAGTTCATTGGCCACTCAGGGTTTGGATCTTTGTTCAAACAGATTATGGGCCTTTGGTCGACCTAGCCATAGCTCTTCAATCGGCTCAGCTATGGTCATTTGGTCGACCAAGTTATAGAACTTCGGTAGGTCGGCTCTCCCGATCTAATTAGCATTTACCATTCCCTTTGGACGAGACTCATGATCTTCAGATGAGGCTAACCAGTCGGGTAGATGACAATTTACCATAATCTAATAGGTAGTTTTGTCAAAGCCCTAGCAGTTGTGTAGGTGTCGTATTAGGTGCTAATGGTCGTGAAGGCCTTTCAGGTTTTTTTTTGAGATTTCATGGTGTTGTTTTAATGGGCTTGATGGTTATCCTTTCTTGGAAGATGTTCTCTGGTCTTTGGGTTGATACTTGGGTATGTGGAAAAAGTCTAATTTGATTAACTTCTTTTATTGTGTTGATGTTGTTTTAATTCTTTAGGTGAAGCGTTCGTGAGTCTTGACTTGCTGATGGCCGGAATCGTTCAAGCTTTTGTCCTTGAGGTAGCTGGAGGAAGCCCAATTCAAGCACATGGTAAAGTGACCATGGGTCTTTCGATTGTCTACCAAGGTGCACCCATGACAAGATTTAGTGGTTCCCGTTGGAAGCCAAGTGAAGGAATTGGAGGCAAAGCTAGCGACCCTGAGGATGGAACACTTGGCAAAGCTGACAGCTCTGAAGGCAGAGATGAACAATCTTCAGACAACCTCTAACTTCCTCTAAGTCAAGGCCCAATCCGATATTGTGGATAGTCTTAGATTCAGTGGTTGGGTTTTCTACTAGAATTTGGCTCTGCTGGGATGCATTGCTCAATCGATTGACAACCCACTTTTAAAATATTTTCTATCTTAATGAAATAATGTTTTTAATTAGTGAAAGAAATTTAAATTGTGTGCCATTTTTCTTAGAATTAGTGTCGATTTGATGGACTCTATAACTGAGATTCTGTTTTAAGTGGGGCTCAAAATCTCACCGACACCCTTTATAAAGGTTTATCTGGATAAATTTGGCACATTTGACTCTTTCACTATCCTTCATTTGGTATTCTCTTCCTGCTTCTCTGCGGTTCTTGGTCTTCTATTAGAGGATGACAAGCAAATAATCCATGAAGTGTTTCAGTTTGTTTGCAATAATAGTGTTTTTTTACTGCTGGTCTAGTTGATGATGTGATAATTCATGATGCATACATGTTTGACGATAGAGGCCCAAAGACGGTTGGTAATGACGTTTCAGGCGATCAACTTGTATGCCAATGAGATGATCTTCTATAAGGACGAGTTCCTCGAATTGCAATAGCCTTTGTGTACAAAACAACAGTTGCTCCTGAACCACTACGAAGTGATCCCAACTCAAATAAAACCCAACTCTATTGCGTCCTTCCTTACTTATGAGGTTTACTGTCGACGGATGAAGATTTTCTTTGTTGCAGAAGTTCTTCTCCTACATGTTTTCCTTCCAGGTGGAGCCTGGTGGTTATGTGGTTTTGGAGTGACTTTAAGTTTCACTTAGTTGGCCTCGAAAATAAAGGATTGGAAGTAACAGTTCTTCATCAGGTTGGCCAGGGAGTTTGGGGTTCTAAGTCGGTCGTTGATCCCAACTTTTTATATATAGATGTAAAATGTGATGTATGTTACTATATGCTTAATTTCCTTAATAGTTATTCTTAATTTGCAACAAAGTCAAAAAAATTGATCCAAAGCAATATGAATAAAATTTCCACTATAAAAGAAATAAGAATAAAATTATAATTTTAAATAGGAGATACTATGCAAGTATACGTATCATTATCAAGTAATATAAGACTTTTTGATTAAACCCATAATATTGATTTCGCAGGAAAAATGGTTATATGCTTTTTAGGAATTTAAAAATTTTAGATGACAAAAATCTACTAAGCAAAATATTCTTACTTAAACTTAAGATGCTAAAATAAGAATGCAAATTTGATTCTTTTTGTAATTTTTGGTTTATGAAAATAAAGTAAGCAATTAATTAAATTAATTAAATACTTGCAAGATGAAGGCGATATAAATAAAATTTCTTTTCCTAATCATGAATTAGTAATAATTAGAGAAATTCTATTGTGGAAGTATTCTAACTGTGTTGTGCCAAAAAGGAGCAATAATATTTTTTGCCCTTACTAGAGATGCTATAAAGAATATTGGCTAATTTATAGTTTGAATAGTCTTGAAGACCGACTAGGTAGAGAAGAGATTAGCTCTCATTCTAGAGTTCCCTCTTCTCCCTCCACCTGGGGGCTAACATCTCATATAAAAACTAATACTATAAATCAAATTGGGGTCTTTAGTCTGTCACTCTGAAGTCCTCTAATTCTACACCCTTGAAAAGTTTATTTCCCTATTTATTTACACTCAACCCCATGAACTACATTCTCATCCATGAAATCAAATGTGATTCTTACCATTTGCTGACCGAGATAACACCATCTCGGATCTTACATGTTCTCACAATAAGTTTTAACATCTTAATTGGCAAAATCAAAAAGTAAATGAAGTACAAGTTTTAAAATCATCACAACTTCTTCTAACATTAAAGTCTAATACTTCACACAACTTCTTTTCAGCACTTAATCACTTATCATTTTAAGAAAAAAAGATAAAGAAAAATAATCAAAATACATGGAGAAAACACAACCATACATGAGTTTAACAGTATAAATCACGCACACAAGTAAGAAATCTAAATTAAAATCAGGTGTAGTCACAAAGATAAACACTTATCTAAGATAAACACTTATCTATAAACACTTATCTAAAATCCTCTCCACCAAATATCTTGAAGTTCCTTTGAATTCTCTTCCTTCATTCACAATACAAACTAACACTAAAAAAAAAGAAAAGTGGCCGGCAACGGCGGCGACGGCTTAGATGGATGATGACTGTAAATTTGATGGGTGGCTGGCCTTCTCTTTTGGAAAATCTAAGTCTTTTCTTATAAAAAACCAAGGGGTCCCTTGGTGTCCCTTCAAAAAAGGTGTCTCCATTCAATGAATTTTCGTGTCCATGGGCTATTTTGCACGTTTTTACCAAGGGTTACTTTAAACACCTCTTCAAAAATCCGTTCAAATTAAATAATTCATCTCATAACTACTTTTGTCGCTTAGGCACTGCTCCTCTGCCGTTAGACGCTAATTCTGGGCGCTTAGGCACCCTAGTTTATTTTTGCACTTTTCTTCATTTTTGCTCTAAATTTGACCACTTTTCACTCCTTTTAGCATTTTTCATCCTCCTTTTGACCACTTTTCACTCCTTTTAGCATTTTTCATCCATTTGATTATACCTGAAAGAAAAACACATAAATATATTTCATTAAAGCGCAATATCTCAAAAATAGGTATAAAATATGTATAAAAATACTATATATTTTAGGTTTATCAGTCTTCCATAAGGCGTACAAAAAAGAAGAAATTATTCTCCTTCCTAAAGCCTGACCTCAACTGTTGAGGGGAAGATTATGCTGTTTGTGCAATATACTGACGAGATGGTTGTTAATAAAGTTTTGAATCAAAGTGAGTTCAGAGAGATGACTCTAAGGTTTTGGGTGATGAAAGGTGCCATAGAAGAAAAGCAGTGGATCAAAAGGTTCAACCAGCAGGAGAAAAAGAAGAAACTGCATAAGGAAGCAGATCGATTGAGAAAAGAGCTTGGGCCATTCGCCTAGCTTACGACCGGAGAAAAGGAGCCAGTGGAAACCATTTGGTTTGTGGCTATTATCACAGGTTCCGACTTACTTCACTCTTTATCGTAAACCAACATCACAATTCAAACATGTCCAGTGTTGATTTAGCACTAATTGAGTGAAATCCTATCCTGATGAACTTAGGTAAGTGAGTATGTGGAGAAGAAAGGTCTCAGGCTCTTAACTACTCCCAACTAGATGTTGAAGAGCTTTTAGAGGGGCCTCACAATCGTGTGGCCACTAGTCCTCGTTAGCGTTGACCTCATTTTTTATGAGGTCTAACTTTTTTTACTAGAGCCTAGGATCTGACATTAAGATTTTCCTTTTAACTATCCTGGAAGACTAGTGATGGAGCTCACCCCATTTAGAAGTTCCAACCACTTCTTTACTATTTTTATGAAATCTCACATGGGTGATCTCTAGCCCTCAATTCCTATTCAAGATGGTGAGAACCAACATGTGAAGATTCAAAAATGAGTTCTTCTGGGATCATCAAACCCTAGGTAAACCCTCTCGACACAAAATTTAGATTATTCACCATGAACTGAGCGGCTCGCCATCGAGAGCATTTTTTAGACATTGCTCACTACTTAGGCTTGGGCCGGTCAACATTGCATTGATCGATGACTTCGGTCAGATCGATGAATGTCATTCACTGCACCGACCATGACGTTAACTTAAATTAGCTCAATTGATGATGAACTTGTCCGGACGACCCCCAATGATGAAATAAACTGTACGAGCATATCCGGAACGTGGACTTTACCTAGAAATGACACTCATATTGTTATAGTTCTTTGCATGAGTAAATTGCACATAAATTGATGCACATAAAATATTTTCTTAACATTCATTCAGCTCATATTGATCTTGCCAAGGGTGGCACTCATTAAAACATGCTTCTAATCAAATTTAAGGAAATGACAACACAAAATTCTCAATAACATTGTAAAACCGCCGCCTCGCCACACAATAACAACTCCATAAGCCTAATAACACTTCTAAATGCCCAATAACACCACAAAATCCCAATAATACCCCAGCACAAAGGCAAAACACATCAACTAACATCATAATCCACCGTTAATTGTGCAATAAGCCCATAATAACCCTGCCTAATTGCCTAATACGCCCGAAAAACCTTTAAAATTGCCTAATAACACACGCTGCCTCAAAAATCGCCTAACACACCCGAAAATCCCCATAAACTCGCCAACACAACACGAAAATCCCAAAGCATCACCAATAATACTGATTTCCTGCCCTCTCCACTCAGTACTACTGCGGTAACATCCGAGTGCTACCGTCAATGACACTTAACACTGCCATCACTGCAGAACCGTAATAACACTTGAATATTACTGTGATAACACTTTGAATAATACCATTTTTTTCGTTTTTTCTCCCAATATAGCTTGGATTCTACTACGGTGACACCACGAATAACACCACAAACGCAAAACGCTAAATAACACTACAATACAGCCATGAAAAATACATCGAATAACACCTCCTTAAATTCATGAAAAAAAATAAATAAAAGAGGAAAATATAATAGAAAAGGAAAGAGCCTTCCCTGACCTAAAAAAAATAATTTTCTACTCAGGCCCGAGGTCCTCATCTGCTCCATTTCTTCCCCCTTCCTTGTGTCCACGTTGACCATTTTTTTACTTTTCCCATGCCCTCTGCTCCGGTCGCCGTTCATTTGCCCCATTTCTTCCCCATTCTATGGAGAAATTATTGCATACGGACACCGCATGCATCTCTGCATGCGGTGTCCAATCCTAACCGTAGATCACGGTGATCTACGGTCAGGATCTATTTCAGTTTTTTTTTTTAAATTTAGGTGGGGCCCACCGAAAGACATCCTGACCGTAGATCACTACGGTCGGAATCGGACACCGCATACAGAGATGCATGCAATGTCCGTCCGTATGGAATAATCTTTCCATTCTCTGTGTCCTTTATCAACCATTTTTTATCTTTCCCCCGTCCCTAACGGTTTAGACTCACC